TTTTTTCTCCATAAATAAAAAAGAGAAAAAAAGACCAATTGATTGAAATTACGAGCATTATACCACATGCAATTCATACTGACATAATTTTAAAAATATGAATACCACATATGAAACATATAAAGAGCACAAGGTGCATCATTTAGCGTGTCCTTTTCAACAATATACAGTCACTATCAATGAAGTATAATAATTACAGGAGCAAATGGTGCTTCTTTCTCTGCACACAGAGAAAAAATTCTTGTACAAGATCAGGGATATAGCTGAGCAGCACATTGCTTACCTGGCAATGTGGCATTGTGAGTTTGATTCCCAGTTTTAAACAAATTGCATGTACATGTGAATGCCCTACTTCAGAGATTAATTTGTGTTTTTAAGAAGCAGCCCCTTTGCAAGTTGTCCTTTATTGAATTATTTCACCCTCTATTATTTAAATCCTTATCATAACATCGAACTTTTCTCACTATAAGGTATAGAACCTAATGTATTCAACAGTTTATTCATTTATTGTATGATTCTAGATGTAAGACTGTAGTTTACACATGCCTCGAAGGCTCCTAGTAATTATTTTCATCATAGCCATAGTAATATGTATTTTAAAATTTATTGATGTTAAACTTTAAAAAAAAATTCTCATGTGATTTTTTAAACATCCTAGAAGGACTTAGAATTCTGAGGGTGTGTTCATTGATTCTGGAATTCAACATCATTACAATGAAACTCAATGTGGAGGATACTATTTGTCTGCTTGAGGCCTCATATTAAACTCTCATTGTATTTATCATAGTTAGATGTCCCTGGCATTTCCTATGACTTGGTTAAAATATCCAACAGTGTCACTACAATGTATTCAAGACTTATGAAAGCTAAACCTAGCTGGAGAGCAGAAAGAAGGCTGTGTGCAGTGCCCACCCTCACTTCAGGCCCTGTAAGAAGATAAGGATTCAGCATGTAAATTTTCTGTAATAGTCCTTTCCATGCCAAGAGATGAATGCTAATCTCTTGTGACTTACTAATTTTTTCAAAGTAAATACTCAACTTTGCATGTCTGATGCCTAGAATTCTACTGTCACATTCTGAGTGTTTGAAGGCATTGAGGTTATTAGGAAAGACATGTAAGCGTGTGGCTTCATGTTGCAAGGAAACATGACCCACAAGATTACATGTGGTGCATGAACGTGGCTCTCAGGCTCTCTCTCACTCCTGAAGAATCTCCACTGGAAGGCTGAAGATTGATTCTGAGAGAATGAGCAACCTGAAGCCAATATCATAAGGCAATGAAATACCTATGCCCATGCACAAAAAAGTAAGAGACTTGTTTTCCCTTATTATTCAAACCAGGTCATATTGGTTGTTGTCAAGCACAGAAAAGGGAGTCATTTGCCATGTGCTATAAATCAGTAATTCACAAAGAAGTGCAGAACATTAAAATGGACTGGGACATTCATACTATCATGACACACACCACCCTTCACAGATATTCTTCATACATAGTAATTATTTTCTGATTCTCTTAAAACTTTGCAGGAGATAAAGAAACATTTTTTCAGTAAAGCCCTATAACCACTGGAATCCTTTCTTCAGAAAGAAAAGACTCACAAAATTATCTGGGTAAGTGAGGCTCCTGTTCTACAGGAGACAATTTGAAGACTGGAAGGAATAACGCAAAAGAGATATTTGAGTTTCATAATTAAAATGACTTGATCAAACTAAAACTAAGGGACAACAAAATGAATTGAATATGCACAAAAAACAAATCTGTTATTGCAAACACTATCATTAAGCATTAGATTTTTTTCAACCTCCTGAATACGAATGCTTTGATATGTATTTCAGATGTAACAGAAAGAGAAATTCATAATACAACACTAAATGACATGTAGCTCACTGAATGCAGCACACTGTGAATCACTGTTTGTTCACCCATGGTGTCCTTTTTCAGAGACCAGAGACTCATCTCTGTATCCTCCAACATGAGCATATAAACTTCACATTGAGCGATGTATCGCTAGTATAAACTATGTGTCAACTTAAATATTCAATATAAGTTTACACTCAAACATTTTCTCTGCATTATCCAAGGGCCCCATGGACTTTAGAAAAGATAATTTGAGATGGGCATAAACTTTCAATATGCATCTCATATTGAAAAAGTTCAGTAATCCAGGGTGGCCTCAATTTTTAAGCACTCCTAACTTTCTGAGGACGCTGGAATTAAATTTGTGCATCACCATGACTCAGTGTTGTTTATTTTACCCCACCAGTGAATTCTTGGTGAAATTGGGTGACATGAAAAAAAAAAAACACAGATCCAGGCATGGCACTGCATGCCTGAGTCCATAGCATTACAATGGATGATGTATGAGGCTCTGAGCAGTAAGGACCATGTGAACTAAAGAAGGAGACCCAATTCCCTCCAGCAAAGCAGAGGCATAAGCATCACCATCAAAGTAGAATATTTCTGTCATCCCCTCACGGGCAGTTGAGCTAGTTAGAAATATTACATCCATCAGAAATGGCTAGGCTCTGGAAGGGCCCCCACAGAGGACGAGATATCTAGTGACTTTGAAAGAGACACACACACCACATGCTGTGGACCAGATCTCAAGATAGATGACAAAGAAATACAATCACACCCTTAAGTATAATTCTTAGGGGTTAGGGATGGATCACCTTGAGAAGACAGGAGTTGCCATTCTAATCAACTACAGAAAAAGTGACTGATCCATAAATAATGCTAGCTTGCTATGTGATTCAATTCCCCATTTGTCTCTGATATAGTCAATTTTACCTGAGGAGGGAAACTGATTGTTTGACCATAGCTCTTTCCCACCTCATGCCTGCCTGTCTTGTGAGTTATTGATCTGTCTTTAGACTTGCCTCATCTCATTGTTTTACATTATAAAAATTACTAGAAAATGCAGAGTCTTTGGCAATCCACATGGGACCCCTTCTGTCTCTATAACAGAAGCATTCTTTCACTCAATAAGTAGTTCTTCTCTTAACTTTGGTTGTACCTAAAATTCATTCTTAAATTTAAAAGAATATGAATTTATGCTGGACATATAGAGGGTAGACAATTTCATTCCCATATATCAAACTCAGCAGTCAAAGTGCTGGCAAAGACACACCTCTTCTTCTGACCATGTGCAAAGTAGTAAGACCTCATCTCTAAATGCCAAAAAACTTTTATTAATTAAATCTTTTTTCAAAATTTGCAGGATGTCAATAAGGGCCAGATTTCTAAGGGCAGTCATTGGACAAGAAGAAACAATAAATGTATCTTAAAATTTTTGGTGTCCAAAAGAAACTCCTTCCCATGTTATTTTAGTTGTGATGCCCAACATATTTCAAAACCTTCAATACTAGGATTCTAAGTACCTATCTTACCTCATACATGATTAGGAGAGCTGATCAGTACACATAGAAAAAGTTTTTATCCATGACTAAGTTTCCCTCCTTTCTATAGGCCTGTGAGCTTTTTCCTACTCTCAGACCTACCACGCAGACAATCCTCCAGTGCTGTCACAGTAGGTCAAGCTCACCTCAGAAGTCCTTTACTATGCTGCCTGCTGATTTGGCCTCCCTCCTCATGCCCCTGCTCTCTCATTTCCTTTCCATCATGTTGGCACATATTATTAAAACTTTTGTCCTTAATTCTTTAATACTCATGAATATCCTGAGCATGTGAAGATACCTCTACTTCAGTAAAACAGTCCATTTCATCGTTCAAATTCCTTTTCGAGACAAGGACTCATGATGTAATTCAGGATGCCATGTCCTGGAACTCACTTCATGCCCCAAGCTTGTCTTAAACTTGCAAGGATCCTCCTGTATCAGCCTTCTGAGTGCTAGGATTAAGCCATGTGCCACCACGGCCCACTCGCTGCTTCAAATTTCAGGTCAAATTAAAACACAACCCAAATGTAACAAATTTTTGCAGTTTTGAAACCTACTTCCATTTCCACTCTCATTTTATCAGATCTCTACATCCCTGTAGACACCAGTTTGCTGTTTTTCTCAGTGTGGGATTAGCACACAGCACCTACAAGAAGTTGTTCTCAGCAAGAAATTTCCACTCAGAAACTAATTCATCACCATCCCCAAATACCTCACAACATTCTAAACTTTAAGAAAACCATTGCTTCAGTAATTCAATTGTAAAAAAGTATTTATCTACTTAGCTTATAAATAAAGCACTCCCTAAGGAAATGGCCTGAGGTAAAGTTGCAAAAGTAGTGGCTGGGATAAGAATTAAAATCAGAACAGACCATGAACTAGGACTTTGAACTTCACAATAAATTGCAGATTCTAGTCTACTAGAGTGACTTGCAGGCACTAATTACTAAACTCTTTAGGTAACAGAAATGTAAACACAAACATCCAGTTTATCTCTAAAACCTGTTTCCTATAGACCCCACAGGCTGAACAAAACGGTTGGACAACCTCAGCTCAAAGTATTTCTTTTTCTGGGTGCAGTGACTCTGGACTGTAATATCCTCACACTGGAGACAGATGAAAGAGGATATCCTGGATCTCATGGGCTGGCCAGACTACAGAGATACACTCTGTATCCAAACAATAATAATAAAATGTAAAAGAAAAAAGAAAGGAAATAAAGATGGAGATCTATTTTAAATCCATAGAGCCAGGTGTACCCTCATGGCTATCTATCCATGAACGAAACATTCCCAAAGTCAAGCAGCTTTCTCATTTTTATTTTGGTTCCATAACTCATAACACACAGTGCCATGAGTTTATGAGTTCTGTTCATGCCATAACATCACTTCAAGTAGAAGTCTCACATAAGGAATTCAAATGATAGTGTTTTCTCATTTTGAGGCCAGAATACATGTTTGCCTCCAAAGAATTGCACTCCTTAAACACAGCTGTGCCTGAGGCTGTGCAAAAGACACTCTGGGTATACAGGGGTTCTGCCCAATACCATCCAGACTGGCCAAAATTCCATCCCATTCCCAGCTGCAATACCATCAAGTTACCATTGTTATGCTTGAGGATTTCCAAGGATCCTTTCCAGTCTTCAGTAAGAAGAAGTCACAGAAACTTGACATGAGCTCAGCTCCAGGCACTCAGCACTGAACTCCAAGTGAGCACTTCACAAGAGGGATGGGAAGACCCTCCTCCCCTGGCTCACCTGATTGGCCCTCCTACCTTCACCCACCTTTATCAATAATTGGCTCCTGGGCCCATCTCTCTTCTATGATGTCACCCTCACCTGCCAGGATTCATAGTTTACTCTTGGCTTTTCAGTGCTGTCCTTGGTTTCCTTAAAGGTTTAGTGCCCTCTCCTGAAGCTAGGTCCCAAATATTACCAGGTGAATGTCCTGTGGAAGAACCAATCCCTTGAGGACAGAAAAGTTTATTTGTCAAGCTCAGGCTGGGACAACTTTGCACAGGTATGGTCTGCTGTCAGGAATAAGGCCATAAGCTTTATTGCCCAGAAGTTCACAGGGTCTCTCTCAGCCTGCTCATTTGCATTAAACTAATTTTTAGGCCATCTACCAAGAGAAGTCCATTACAGCATGAATGAAGAAACTACACATTAACAGTAAGAGATTTCTGAGAAAAAGTAAAGATAAGGAAAATCAAACAGTCCAACTGCTTCAGAAAAGCTTTACACTCTATTCAGTGTCATAAATCATAACTAAGTTTTGAAGATAATCCTTGCCAAGCATAAGCTTCACTATTACTGCTGAAAAAGAGTACCACACTTGATCCACTAAATCACTTCCTGGTATTGAGTGTGGGATAAAAAAAAAAAAAACCACTTTAGATTGTGTTATGGATTAAGAACTGGTGGTCAACTTAACACCAGATGGATTACATCAGCATGACATTGATTGAAGATGCCCCACCTGAGGAAAGTTGCAGGATAAATAAGTGGAGGAGAAGCGGTGCTGAAGCATTAGGGCATTATTGCATTGAGGTATAGTGGGTTCTCCTATGAGTTGCTGTTTGAACTGTTGGTTCTCCTGGAGAAGCTTTGGTCCTCGCACCCAGCATTGCTTCCTGGCTCCAGAGGGGAAGACATGTGATGCTTGGACTCCAGGATTAAATCATCATGCTGCTTCCTAGCACATACCCGACTGTGCTTGTTTGGAGGAGCTCAGGGCCTCCTTGTCACTGAGGATGGCTTTTGTGCCTTTCAAGACAGACCTGGGCTTTTTTGTGAGTGTGACTTCTTGGCTCCAGTGCAGAACCCTCATCCCACCAGCACATCTCCTTCATTCTACTGGCATGGACATCCTGGCTTCCACCGCTGACCCTTGGGTTTTCTTGGCATAGATCCATAAAAGAGACTGGGGTGAGTCTTTCTTGTGGGCACTGGACCTCCAGTTGGACTCATCAGAGGCATTGTCCTGAGTTCTGGGTTTATATCTGGACTTGTGTAGGACATTACTGTGAGATTTAGGCCCTTGACTAAATATTCTATGTCTTTGGTGTTGTGGATAGGTTTCCTGCATTTTCCTGTGTTATCTCCCTGTGACCATTATAAAAATATTATAAACTCCATGTCCTGATTCTAATTGTTCTCAGTGTATAACTCCTAAATACAATGGACTGTAAGTAGAAACATTTGTGTCAAGTATGTATATGTTTTACTCTAGAATCATTACATTTTTGTATTAACCTGTTGCCTAATTCTTGACTTAACTTTATGTGCAAGATTGCTTTTAGCCAATCTATATATTTAAGATCTAAAATATAGAAAGTATAAAAGAAAACCTAATGAAGCTGAAGTAGGAATTTGCATGTAGGAAATGGTACCTGAGTTGGGATCATAGAGCCTGGCACAAGTTCCAGGTTTTTTTTTTTTTGTCTCTTTAATCAATGCTGCCAGAAACAAAGGCCCTCAATTATGCAGCCACTACCTTCTCACAAGTAGCTGCCTGACTGTTATTTCTCTTCCTTCTTCCAAACTAAGTGTTTTTTTTTTATTTTCCATTTCAATCTTGCTGTCTTTAAGTCCTTATTTTTATGATTGTTACCTTCCCTTATTTACTATAGTGCAGGACTAGGGTGTGCACACCCTTTTATGGCTAGGTAAGATAGACAACCAATTCTCTTCTTTTCCATGGATTCCACTTATTGAACAGCAAAAAATTATTTTCTTTTCTTGTTTACTTTTTAGTAAAAGAAGAAAAATATCTCTCCTAAGTTTCTGGTTTTGTCCACAGCTACATACCTTGTCATTGTGAATCCCTGAGCTCAGTTTGTACCAAATTAACAGTTTCAATAATTTTCTCCATAATGATTACTGTTTGGCTATTGCTAATAGCCTTGCTATCCACCTAATAACAATGCCTCTTGAATAATAGACTTTTCATAAGTGTGCTGATGCAGTTTTTAATTACCAATCATGTATCTTAACTAGATTTATTGTAATGCATTTATCTGTCATCTACTGTATAAAATTCTGTTTCTAAGCATCAAGCTTCTGATGTACTTGAGGCCCTAATTCACTCCTTAGAAAAACTGGAAACCTGACACTAGCAGGTTCCATATGAAATTCCTGCAGATGTCTGTGACAACCTTCACAGGGCACAGGTACTTTATTGGTTGTAATATTAAATAAACTGTTATTCATGAATTTTGGACTCCTGAGTGTTTTTGTACTTACAAGAAGAGATGGTAACTGAATTTTTATCATTCTGCATTCGTGTTAATGAACTTTCTATCACTGTGATAAAGTGCCTGAAAAATCCAGATATTAGAATTGGAAATTTACTCAAGGTGTATTTTATCTCATACTTTCTGAAGATCAGCCCATGGGGCAAAGGTGAGATAGAACACAGGAGCTAGGTCATGTTGGTAAGCATGCAGAGTAAGAGATGATGTAGCTACATCAAAGTAGGCAGGGTCCAAGGGCACTATGTGCGTGTGTGTGTGTGTGTGTGTGTGTGTGTGTGTGTCTGTGTGTGTGTGTGTCTATGTTTCTGTTTCTCTCTGTTTGTGTCTATGTCTGTGTCTCTGTCTATGTGTCTGTGAGCAGGGATTCAACAATCCCAATGGGAGCACCTGTTCTTTCTCTGCACAGCTATGACCTGTGTCACTATAAAGCTCAGCCCCTCAGTACACTAAAGCTCAGTTTTCTGTCTCCACATGGTTGATGTATCTTAGTGAACGCAGATCTCACTCCCTGTGTCTCTCACACAGTGAGGCTCATCAGGATCCTCATGGTCACACAAGGAGACTGCTACATAACAGGCTTTTGGAGTGGTCTCTGGAGTTGAATGCATTATACTGAATTAAATCCTGTAGTAAGCATAACATCCAGCATCAGTGTCAACAAATAATTTCAACCCTACAAATTGCTAAGGAGTAACAAATAGGAGACAACATACGGTGATAACTGACAATGTTATATAAAAATATAAAACAAAATTATTAACTAGAGACACTCTATACTGCTTCCTTCCATCCAAGTTGAGCACTCCAAGATGAGATAATTGACATGTCCTATATCCAGCTGAGTTAACAGTGTCCAGCTCCATCATGATATATCCTTTCACTGTCACCTAAGCACTCATATTCCCCAGACAATCACCCAGGATTGGCATTTTAGGATTTAGTGAAGGCCCTTAGTCCACTGGCAGTGTCTCCCTGTGAAGGAAGTGGCACATGCAGGGGGCTTACACCTGTCTTTGCTGACATTCTCCCTGTGTTCATTGTCCCTGGACAGGAGTCTCTGATCTGGAACACAAGGCTGACAGAATCAAAAGGTACTTTTTCAGGTCCCTGATGCTTCTTTGGCACTGAGTCCTCCTGTTTCACATCCAGTATTCTCAAGGCCTTCCTTCATGGTACTGCAGTCCCTTCAATGTGGAAATTCAAAATTGGTGTGTAAAGTTGTAAAGGCCTTTAAATTCCAACCCAGATTTCCTACAGTCTGCACTGGGGGCCTGAAGATGTATCATCCATCTATGCAGAAAATAACTCCTCTGGCCCAGATAACTGCTGGTGTTGGCAAAGGAAAACAAGGATATCTGTGGATGAAGGAGTGCTTTATTCCTGCAGATTGTCATTACTGGGCTCCCTATAGTAGAAAGATAACTAAAAGATTGCAGTCTTTACAAACTTTTAATTTTAAATCATGCAAGGATCCAAGTCCTGTAGGAATGTGTCCCTTATTTGGAAAGTTTCCCTTTACTGAAGTGCAGGGAGGTCACCTGTTAAATTCCCTTCTGCTCTCCATGCCACAGGAAGGGACCTGTATTGATCTTATGCATGTATTAGCACTTCTGATACACATGGAAAAAGGTGACTGAGTATCAACACATTTGTCCACTGACCCTGGTGGTGTGGTTTCAGGGTCAACAATTGGAAGCAACACTTGCCTGATCAGAAAGTTCATCTATGAGACATATTCTACAGGACACATTCTAGCCAGGAAGGACACAATGCTGGTGTGGTGGTTTCCAGATACTAAGCTTTTCCATTCATGACCTGAGAAACCAGGATAGACATGAACACAAACATCCTGGAGTCTGTGTTGTGTGACTACCTGGTTGAAGGAAAATGTCTGTCCGGTGTGTCCTTCTGGGTCTGTATCTTCAGCTGCATCTCATGGCACTCCTGGATGTCCCAGCTGCCCATGTGAGATAATCATTGCTGTGATGATCAAGGGGAGACTGAAACATGCACTTGAGGTCTTGGGGGCTTTCAGCATTGTATGGAGTTTGTGGAGGCAGATGCTGTTCAAAGTTGCCCTTTTTTCTCTTCTGTCTCCTCTGCCTTCTGCAGCTTCACTGGGTTTTCTCAGGTGAACCTGGGTCCTGCAGCTCCCTCAGCTCCAGTTCTCTCTCATCACACTGTGTACCTGATACTGTGGGATTCTGTGATCCCTAAGATTTTCTATCATATGACATCCTAAATAAAAGTCTTGTGATATAGATCATTATCACCTGACAACTGTAACTTTTGGTGGGACTGCCCAATTTCTTTGGTTTATTTCACCTATGAATTGTATTAATTGTTCAGGATCATATTTGAATTCTGGCTGGTTGTTCTGTACTTGTAACATGTTACATCCACATAGCACCCATTTCTGAAAATGTCCTTTGAGAGTGCCTTCCATCTGCACCAAGTTCTATGTCCATTTCCCTAAAATCAGTCCTCTC